CGAGCGGTTATTGTGAGCCCCCATTGTTAAAATGCAGTGTTAATGCAACCATTACGAGCTGTTATTGTGAGCTTTCACATTTATATGCAGAGTTAATGCAACCACCACGAGCGGTTATCGTGAGCCCCCATTATTAAAATGCAGAGTTAATGCAACCATTACGAGCTGTTATTATGAGCTCCCGCTGTTAAAATACAGAATTAATGCAACCATCATGTGCGGTTATGTTAGATCTTTTCGTAACACACAACTAAATAAGTTAACTCTTTTTCACGTACGTGTATACATTTCTCCGGCCGGACATGACCTAATTGCTATTGTACGAGTTGCGGATCAGAAAGTCCATGAATGCTGCTGAACACGTCTCGCAGTTTCAACTGTAGAGCATTATAATCGATATTCGGTTAAGAGTAGCCGTTTAGGCGGCGAGTGATGTTAAATGGCTGTGCTTTATCTGGTCAGCAGCTCAAAATTAGGAACGGCCATGACTAAACCTTCATGTCTGTCTTTGGTCTGGTCGTTTATCCAATGTGTCGTGACAGGTGCCATTTAAGTTTAAAATACCAGATAACATACATGTAAATTATTTTTTAAATTATAGGATAGCCTTGAATCCACAACTCAACAATTTTATCCACTTTACGGCGGCATTCTTTCTTTTTTCTTTCTCTCTTTCTCCTTATGTTTTTGTTAATGGCTCAGTAGCGATTTCGTCAGATATTACCAACTTTTACTGTTATATTAGTACATTGCTCTCTGGCTGTGGAGTAATTTATCGGTGATTTAACATCTAATTAATTATTCAGTACAGTTTTCCTACGATGATTATCGTGTTGCAGTTTCTACTAGCTTTGTTTATCTTCTTCCTATCATCCCATTTCTTTATACGTCACACAAGCTTCTTTCTGATTGGTTCTTTTACAGGTCCGATCGTCTCAATATTTTTACCTCTGTCCTATCAAGAGACATCTTTTTTATCGGAATTGTTTTTGAAACTTGCAGTCGATAGGTCTAGTGTCATCTAATGGTTGGCGGGCTTGAACCTAGAATAGGAAAGTCCAAACTACTAGCCTACATTATGTTGCTGAATATACTCTGTACTTTCTTCCGTGAACGCGTTATATAAGTAACAGTTAATCCCGCTATTCGGTTAAAATAGCTACTTTTCCCCCGGTGGAACAGCGGTAAGTCTTCGGAAGTACAATGCTAAAATTAGGGGTTCGATTCCCCTCGGTGTACACAGCAGATAGCCCGATGTGGCTTTGCTATAAAAAATACACGAACACACACACAAAATAGCTGCTTATTCATCTTTCATGTCAAAATTAGGTTGGGCTATGCCTAAACCTTTAGGTCTCTAACCTGGCTGTTAAGCTAAAGTGTCTCATAAGGTCCGTTAAACTTTAAAAAAAGACATCATTATCATAATTGCCAAGAAGGAGGAGGGAGAGCTTAAGGCCTTTATATCACAAGTAAAGGTTCTCATTTGTTATTGGAATATCCACACATGTATCATCTTAACTCCTCCTTACAGGTCACTTTTTACATTCTGACTTGTTAACTTTAAACCATAACGAACCAAACATTGTTATATTCTGACGTATTAGCTGTAAACACAACGAACCAAACACTGTTAAATTCTGACTTATTAGCTTTAAATCACAACGAACCAAACACTGTTACATTCTGACTTATTAGCTGTAAACACAATGAACAAAACACCGTTGCATTATGATTTATTAGTTTTAAACCACATCGAACCAAACACTGTTACATTGTGACTTATTAGCTTTAAACCACAACGAACCAAACACAGTTAAATTGTGACTTATTAGCTTTAAACCACAACGAACCAAACACTGTTAAATCCTGACTCATTAATTTTAAACCACAACGAACCAAACACTGTTAAATTCTGACTTATTAGCTTTAAATCACAACGAACCAAACACTGTTACATTCTGACTTATTAGCTGTAAATACAATGAACAAAACACCGTTGCATTATGATTTATTAGTTTTAAACCACATCGAACCAAACACTGTTACATTGTGACTTATTAGCTTTAAACCACAACGAACCTAACACTGTTACATTCTGACTTATTAGTTTTAAACCACAACGAACCAAACACTGTTTAATTATGACTTATTAGCTGTAAACAGAACGAACCAAACACTGTTAAATTCTGACTTATTAGTTGTAAACCACAATGAACCAAACACTGTTACATGGTGACTTATTAGCTTTAAACCACAACGAACCTAAC